AACAGACACAAAAAAAAAAAAACACATCATAGTAAAACCAATACCTTCTCAGCTTCGCATCGAAGCTAAAATGGTAAATTGAGCAAAATTGTTAGTCATCCCTTATGATATACATGACTGACTCTTCACTTTTGATAATTCTTTAATAATTGAAAAAACTTGATATTGATATTGATATATATATATATATATATATATATTAGGATGTCCCTTATTTTTAAAATTTTGGGAATTCTTCGGGCATACGCGCCAAATTTGTGTGTATACATATAAAAAGTGGTTACAAAAAATTTCAGGCCGATGACATAAGCTTAACCCGTGCCGACTTGAAGTCGAATATTGACCAAAAAAGGGTAGTTTTTAGCTATTAAATTGTAAATTAAATTAAGAAATTTTAACAGTTTTTCAATTTGCATAGCATCACGGCATTAATGTACTAAAGACTTATTTATAATAAGAGAATCGAATTGAATGGCTATCGTAATAACAAAAAAATGTATAGTTATCCTTCTATACCCACACAGCAATTTAATGTTAAGAGGTTATTAATTTTGATTACAGAAATATAACAACATTACCCTATAGTTATTTGGCCACCGAAATAATGTTGTATCAATGAACAAATAAAAATATTACTGTTCGATCCATTTTTTTTGTTGTTTTACTTTGTATGTAGTATAGTGATAAGCGCATTTGTCCGATGCGTACCGGTGTCTTTTTTGTAATAAATAGTCGAACCAGTGGCGTATTTATATGCTGGCACTATAGGCACGTGCCTACAGCGGCAAATTTTTCATGGGATTTTTTTTTTCAATAATGATGACCATGTATATTAACTCGGTGAAACTTATTTTTATTCAGCCAACAAAAGTATCTTAAAGTATTGAAAACAATGGCATTGGTTCCAAATAAATTTCGAATTTATTTATTTTTAAAGTTTCTTATCGCTGTCTACCGGAAATATTCACGCCGTCGCCGTCAAAAAAATGGTCAGTGAGTTATCTACAGTACATATTAACAATCTAATAATATCAACATTCAGTGCAGTGGTTCTACGAAAAATTTCTTGACCGATCTTTTATCTTATTACTTGAGAAATGAGAAGTGATTTCAGTCTGTGGTCTATCGTACTGTCGCCTGTGCGTTCTGACCGTGCTGCAAAGTGCTGAGTGCGTACCGCTGCAGCTGTGTCGTCGTTTTTTTCGAAAATATTCTTTTTATTTTGTGAGCATGAGTTCGAATAGAAAACGGTTAAGTGGTGACCAATACAAAAAAATTGCCAAATTAAAAAGTGAAAAACTGCAAAATGTTTTAAATAAAACACAAAAATTGACTGATTTTTTTAAAAATCCAGCTTCTACTTCTGGTGTTTGTAGTAGTAATAGTAGTAACATTATGGATATTAATATGAAGAAAACAGATTTTCAGGTTAGTGACAGTGAAACAACAATAATTAGTGAATCTATTGAAGTGGATAATGTTGAACCAGAAGGTAGTTGTGAGTCAAATGAGTTGACTAATATGATAGTAAATGAAACCATTTTGGAGATAGACCCAGCTAAATGGGTTATTAACGACGAATTTCGTGACTATATTGCAAAAAATGGTTTTAATCAAAATATGACAAATGACTTTATTAACTCGAAACGGATATATTCTGATAAAACAAGATATTTGACCAAAATTATGTTTAATAGACGATTAATTAATGGAGAAACAATTGTTCGTTCATGGTTAGTTTATTCTCCAAGTTTAGGAGTAGTTTTTTGTGGGCCTTGTCGGATATTTTAAACATCTTTAGAAACTCAACTTGTTACTGAAGGGTTCAATGATTGGAAAAATGCTACTGTCCGTTTCAGCTACCATGAAAATAGTAAAGAGCACCGAGATGCTATTATGAATTTAAAACATAGAGGTAATGTCTTGGGGCGCATTGATAATTCATTGATTAAACAATTAGACACAGAAATCGAATATTGGAGAAATGTGTTGAAAAGGGTAGTCGAAACTATTAAATCGTTAGCTTCTCGTGGTCTTCCTTTTCGAGGACATGATTCGTGTTTTGGTTCTGTACACAACGGTAATTACTTAATGTCACTCGAATTAATCGCAAAATTTGATCCGTTTTTAGCCGATCATATAGTTCGTTTTGGAAGTAAAGGCAGTGGCTCTACGTCATATTTATCTCACGTTATATGTGACGAATTTATTTTGTTAATGATGAAAAAATTAAAATATAATATTGTTAGAGAATTAAAAATATCAAAATATTTTTCCATAAGTATTGATTCGACGCCAGATATTTCGCACGTCGACAAATTATCATTTATGGTGAGATATGTCCTCGCAACTGGTCTTCCTGTAGAACGATTCTTATGTTTTGTTTCAAATCCAGGACATAAAGCTTTAGATTTAACTAATGTCATTATTAATACTTTAAAATCTCATGATATTGACATTTCTGACTGTCGAGGGCAAAGCTACGATAATGCTAGTAATATGTCAGGTCAATACAGTGGAGTTCAGGCTCGAATCAAAGAAATTAATCCACTAGTTTATTACGTACCGTGTAGCGCTCACTCGTTAAATTTGGTTGGCATATCTTCTGCAGAAAGTTGTCCACAAGCATCAATTTTTTTTGGATTTATACAACAATTATATAATTTTTTTTCCGCATCAACGCAGAGATGGTCAATTTTGCAATTAAATATGAAACGTAATGCTAATACAATTAAGAGTTTATCAAACACCAGGTGGTCGGCTCGCGCAGACGCATGTCGAGCATTATATAATTCGTGGGATGAAATTATTAACGCATTGATCACTATCAAGGATGACACTTTTGAAAAATGTGTTACGCGAAATGAGTCAAATGGTCTTTATAATCAAATGCAAAAGTTAGAAACATCATTTATGATGATTTTTTGGAATCATATATTAGAACGATTTAATGCATCTAATAAACAATTACAATGTGTTGAAATTGGAAATGATAAAGTTTCTCAGATTTATACATCACTAATTAATCTAGTTCAAAAAACCCGAGATAATTTTGATGAATATGAAACTAGAGCAAAAAAAATATCAAAGACTACCGAGTACAATTTTGGTATATCTCGACAAAAAAAAAAAAAATTACACTTCGATGAAAAAACTGAGCAACCAACCGAGTTAATTGGTAGGGATAAATTTCGAGTTGAAACATTTTACGTAATTATTGATAAGATGACAAATGAACTTAAGAAAAGACAACAGGCCTTCAAAGCGTTTTGTGATATATTTGAAGTACTACTAAAAATTACATCTTTAAATTCTTTGGAAATAGTTAAGTTTGCTGAGAAATTGCAAAAAATGTACCCGAATGATTTAGACAATACTTTTTCGTCAGAATGCTTACATTTACAATCTTATTTATTGAATAGTGATATCGATATTGACGTAAATAATTTAACTCCTATCACACTGTGCCAGTATTTAAGAGAAAAAAGTTTACACATTGAAATATTTCCAAATATTGACACAGCATTAAGGATTTTTGTGAGTGTACCAGTGTCCAATTGTACTACCGAGAGATCGTTTTCATGCCTCAAACGCGTAAAAAACTATTTAAGGTCACCCAAACTGATGACAAGTTGAATAATTTAGCATTATTTTCGATAGAAAATGAAATGCTAAGCGAATTTAATTGTGAAGATTTNATGCTAAGCGAATTGAATTGTGAAGATTTAATAGACACATTTGCAAGAACCAAATGTCGACGTAAACCGATCGTCTAATAGGAAATCAGCAATTTATTATGTAATAAATTTAAAATATTCCGATACCAATATTTTGTTATTCCTTTTTTTCCAATTTTAATAATTATGATTTTGTATTTAAAATATAAATTCAATTTGTTTTGCATACCTACCTAATTAAATTTTATTTTATCATAATTAAGGGCGGCAATTTTCTACAGGCCTATAAGCGGTAAATACATAAATACGCTTCTGATCCTAATTAGTAGTTCTTTGATTTTAAAATATAATATATGAATAAATACTAATTATAATTATTAAATTTAGTATGAAATTGATATTCAATAATTTAATATTGTAATTTATACGGAGAAATTATAAAAATAATAAAGAAGTTATATTTTGCTTTACTTTTACGTGTATAAAAATTTAAAGGGCTTGATACAATATTTTTCAATAAAAACTGTTTGTTACTATAAATAAATGCACTGTACTACAAGGAACTTTCACCAGAAGCAAAAATATACTTCTCTAAATCAACTTTTCGCGTTGTTTTCAAATCTGTAATTACACTTTTTCTATCACTTCTAATTTTTTATATTATTACCAATTACATATAAAAAAATAATTTAAAAAAAAAAAAACTTGTTTTCAAATTATTACTGATTTGATTTTTAATATGTTAAAAATAATCAGTCCAAATTTTCATTTATAACCTTTTTTTTTGGTTCTTTAAAGTTGATGAAAAATTTTTGATAAAGTTTTGTGAAAGTTTACAGTAAAAAAAATTGAATATGTTACCATAACTTTTAGCTCAATAACAAGTTTGAAATTGACATCATTAAATAGAAAATTTTATGAGAATTAAAAAAATTGTATCGTTAAGATTGATATGCAGTCAGAAAGTTTTATAATTACTATTTATTGTAAATTTATCAGAAAAGCTCAATATATTTTTGTATTTTTATCGTAATTGATAACTTAAATAGAAGTAATAGTAATAATTTCCTAGTAACTTTTGGTGTTTAAAAATNATTTCCTAGTAACTTTTGGTGTTTGAAAAGATTCTGCAATTGAAATATTCAGAACTTAATTAATTTTAATGATTTACTTTAACTAAATGAACCAATCAAAACAAAGTTGTTAAAAAGATTTACTCATTTGAGCGTATAATAAAATTTGATTATAATTGTAAAAATCCATTATTAATTCAGGAGAAACTAACAATCATTTTTCTTAGAAATGATTTATATAGCAACATGTTACCAAAAAATTTGTAATATTATAGACTAGTAGTAGTACACACAAATACAGTAAAAAATTGATTAAATTACAAAGTAAAATGATTTAATTTTGTAGTTGAAACCTATAATATCAAATTATCATATCAAACTTGATTCGTCAATAAATACTTTGAAAACATTAGAAATGAATGATTTTAATTGTCTGTATGGAGTACATGGGGTATGTAACTGTTTAATTGATAAATTAGAATTTTTTTCAATTTTTATAAATATATCTTTAGTTTGAAGATATAAAAATATCTTCAACTAGATATGAATTGTAGTAATTTGACGTATCGTTGAAAAAAGCAGGTCAAGTTTGAGCAGAGAAATTAAATGATAGTCACAAAAAAATATCTTCTCATCTTTGCATCGAAGCTAAAACTTAAAATATAGTAAAATAATTTTAATACGAATAAGAAATTTCTTCTTACAAGGGACGACTAAAGTGATGGGATCCTTGATCTTTATTGAAGTTATTGAATCTAAATGAGATAAAAATTAAAGCAGTTGAAAATTTATTCTAACTTAAAAAAAAATTAAGAAAAAATGCAAAAAAATCATTGCAATACGCGGGTTGGAACCTCGTACCCAAGCTTGTAAAATACAAGTTTTACCAACTCGGCAACCGTACGTTGGTACCGTCGGCTGAAAAAATGGGCTATTTAAACTAGTTCAAATTTCAAAGTTATTTTTCTCGACTAAAAGAAGCAAACAAATTTAAATAAGTTTAACTTTTTATACTATATTAATTTTTTATTTATATAATATTTATGAAAATCTGTACTCCCCTTGTAAGGTATTTTAAAATAAAATAAAATACAAAACCCAGAATTTTAACACAAAAATAGCAAATTTTTGAATACGGTAGCCATTTTCACCATGAAGACAAATCCAGAGGTCAAATTTTTTTTTTCAAATTAAAGTATATTATATAAGCTTTAATTTAAGATATATATAAAAGTGTCAGTCTTTACGGAACATTTTCAAAACTTAAAATGAAAATGTCCTAGTTTCAATACGCATATTTAAAGTTTTGACCCCCTTTATATAAAGTGGTATGATCTGATTTACAAAAAATAGTATCAGATGAAAGAAATATATAAAAATTAATTATAAAAAATAATAATATCGATCCATACATTTTGTCAAAATTATAGCAATATAAATTTAAAAATATAAAATCGAGAATTTGTTCACGGAAATCATACGTTTTTCTTACATATATTTAAAGCACGGAGAATTTCCAGTATATTGTTGAAAGTTATTTTAAAAAAGTTCTACTTTCTATACGCAATTCTAAAGGTTCAGACAAAAAGGTATAATTTTCTAACACAATAAGCATCATCCAGAAAATTTTTTCGGGGGCAGTGATGGTGGTGATGACGATGGTATGCATTGTTACATACATGACGTCACAACTATTCTTGGTATAAAATGTTTTATATACTAATTGTGCACTTTTGTGTTAATTTAATTATCATGAATATGATAACAGTGTTTTAAAAAAACCCAGCACAGTGGGGTTACGGCACAGTTGGGACGTAGCATAGTTGCCAACTATGCTTACTAAACTGCTTAGTAAGCATAGTTGCTTAGGGCCGGAGCTTGGGCAAACGGGGCCCTTGGTCAAAGGTAATTTTGGGGCCCTATTTTTAAATTATATTTATTATGCAAATTTAATCATTTTTCAAAAGTACTCAAGCAAACTATTTTAATCAGTAAGTAATGAAATAAATAAATGGGTAGATGATTAATACGTTTATTGATGATATATACGTATAATAATTTTAATCACAGTTTTAATCGTTTCTGAGAACATTATGATTCTATCGACAATTTTGTATATGAACATGGTTATTTTATATAAATTTTATTTTTAAACAGAAAAATTTGCATTTGTATATTTACATCATGCTACATCAAAGCTCATTATCAACACGATTTTATGGGCAAGTAACAAATGTTAAAATATCTTCTGTCTATTTTTTACAGAAACAAATTGATCAATGACCTTATCAGAATCAATCACGCGCGCCCTTTGATTCTCGATAGATGATAATGACAAACTGCTCAGTCTTTCTTGTTGCATTGTACTTCGCAAGTAGTTTTTTATCAATTTCAATTTGGAAAACGATCGTTCGTCTTTTGTTGTTGTGACTGGAACGGTGAGAAACATAAGTAGATCAGTACAAACATCTGGATAACTTGAAGACAATGATGCATTCTGAATAATCAAAAAATACGCCAACTCTTTGACATCTTTCATTTCATCTGAAAACGTTGATCTAACAGAAAACAATTGAGCGGAAAATGAAGAAGACACATCTACCGGAAATGTTTTGGAAAACTTGTCAGCTTCTATTTTTAATTCGCTCTTCGGCGAATTTGCTAGAAACTGAGGTTGTAACAATTGATAAGTATCCAAAAATTATTCATTCCAGCAAACCTATTTCGGAGTTGTGATAATATATTGTCAATCATCGGGTAGAAAATGGTAATTCTAAAACGTTGTTCAGGATCATCAAATCTTTCATCTTGAGACAGTTTATCAAAGTGAATTTTGACTTTACGCATTCTTTTCTTCAAAAAAGTTTTTTCGATTTTCCACTTATCACAAATCTCGGAAACATCTGTCAGCAATGAATCAAACTGATTTCTTAATTTTTCAATACTTAATAAAGATTTACGTAGCTGATCATGAGCAGCCAAAAGATCAATTTTTTCCGATTGTAACATTTTTGAAGGCAAATTCATAATTCCCAAAATTTCTAATTGAAGAACAAAAAGAAACACGAAATCAAAATTTTCTATTTTTTTTTTGAATAACTACCGCTGCGTTTCTTTCACTCGATTTTCTAGTTTTCAATATTATATTGCTAAAGGACTTCAAAATATCACAAAATATTTGCTTCAAAGCGTAAATCGCATTATATCTTCCACAATAGCGAGTTGGATTCAATGTTTTCAAAGTCATAGAACCTCACTCATGAACACTTTAAAGCTTATCCCATCGACTAATACTGTGACCAAAAAACTCGTATACAGTTTGCATTGTTTCAAAAAATGCCTCAACATCTCCATTGCATGATACTTCATCTTTCAGTACAAGGTTCAATTTATGAACGGCGCAATAGACGAAATGTGCATGTGGAGCTAGATCTTTGATTCTTTTTTGCAATCCCAAATAAGGGCCGCTCATAACCGCCGCGCCGTCATATTCTTGACCCCGACATTTCTTAAAATGGAGACCCTTCTGCTTGAACGAACAAGTTACAAGCTTTTCTAGTCTTAAAGCAGAGTGATCTTCCACAGCAGTAAATGAAATGAAAACTTCTTCAATATTCAGATTAATTGGCTCCCTTTTAGAGTTGTAAATAATCTTTACGAAACGGAAGACTTGGTTCAGTTGGTCAATTTTGCTGGAGTCTTGAGTTGTATCCAAAATGAAGGAAAAAAAATGGAGCATCTTTTATGTCACGAATTATATTATTATGAACTTTTTAGGTCAAAAGACAAATTATTTCATTTTGTATATGATGGCTTAAGTATTTAGTGGAACCTGCAGACTTCGCTAATAATTCACTCATAACCGGATCATACTTGGCCAATAACGCTATGATAGAAAGAAAATTCCCCTTATTCAAATCTTCTATTTTGTCACTCGATCCCCGAAAAGCAAGATTGCAAGTAGCCAGTATCATAGTCACATCCAGAATGCGTTCTAAGACTTTGCGCCAAAACATACGTTCTTTGCGCAAAATTTCCACGGATACAATATCTATAGTTCCTTTTTTTCTCCACATCTCATAAACTGTGCAAGAATTCTTATGACATTCAGATGTTTCATTACTTTTTACACGTTCAGACAAGTGTTTCCAATCGCTAATACCGCAAGTGCCGAACGGGTTTTCGAACGACCTTTTTTGTGGAAAGAGCCAACAAGGAAGACAATAAATAACATCATTCTTTTCAGAATAAGAAAGCCAATTTTGCACTATCCTTAAACCAGATTTAGTTATAACAGAGTAATAGTTCTCGGAAAAACAGCGATTATTTTGTTTATCATCTTTCGGAAAAGGCCCTCGTGGTTGAGTAGAACCAGAAGAAATCAAAAATGATATTACAGCTGGATCAGTGATGATGCTAGGGAAGTCGTTTTTTTTCATCGACGGAATTTTATCATGTACCAAATTTTCTGCCCCGACGTTTTCCTGTGGCTCACAATCTGCTAGAGTTTCTGGTTCGATAGGTAGTGCATCCTTAGACCCTCCAATTTCACATTGTTCATTTCCATTCGATTCTGAATTAATGCAAAAATCACAAATGTAAAAAAGTAATCACTCAAAGATAGTTTGAAATTGTTGATCACTTGGATCAAAAATTTTTCAAGTTTTTCAAATTTCAAATTATGAAATTACTTCTAAATTGTTTTTTGGTTACTTTTTTGTAAGTTTTTTTTACTATTGAAAAATTTGTATAGCAATATTTATTAAATTGTTTGATTTGAACCTCCCTCATCTAAAGCTATCCAATCAAGCAATGTTAAAAATATCAAATTTTGAAAGGTTATTTTGAAAAATACAAAATTTCTTATTTGAAGATGAAATATTTTGACAGAAGATCTCACATTTACGTAACATTTCTTCAGATAAATAAAACATTTGTATAAAAAAATACCTGCAAAAATGTTTTTGCCTCACTAAAAATTGTAAAATTCAACAAAATTCAATTATTTTTTACGAAATTCTATATATTCTACAATCAAACAACGCAATTTTTCAATTTTTTTGTTCTATATTTATACTTCCTATTCTACGAAACTGTAATGTATTTTAAATGTGTATAACTTCTGCTATGTAATAAAAAAGAACCTAACCTCAAAATATACCGATTTACATGTTTACATTTTAGTTGGTCACATAACAAATTACGAGTTTAATAGAAGATAGAGGGAACAATCGACTCACGTTAATTATAGAACTGTTTCAAAATAAATTAAGTCGAAAGAATTTTTGATTTGGGTTTGCCGTGCACTTGGACACAAAAATTTTTATGTCAATTCAAAATTTGTATGATATTTATTGATATCAACATTTTTTACAAGACGAAAGATCATGTAGGATTAGAAAAAAACAAACCTTGTTGTGTAGTGCTTGCTGCACCGTGTGACAGCAACGAAGTCATTTTTTGGGTACTCTTTGCAACTTCATCTACCTTTCTTTGTTTTTCTTTTCGTTTTTGTGCTCCGCTTTGGTAAATTCGTTTCATATTTACACATCGAAGGATATCACAATCCATTTCAATTAATATATGGTAAAATATGAAAGCTCCACAACTGAGGCGGTCCGAGAATTTGACTGTTTCTTTTCACTATTTTTTTAAATTTTCCTCACTATTACTTTAAGAGATTAAACTATAACAAAACACATGGTGACGTATTCCGTTACGCTATGCACATAATATGGGTGCGTTCCAATAGTCAAGTGAGTCCAACTCGCGCAGGTTTTTGATGATATAAAATTAATGCGCGAGTTGAACTCACTTGACTTTTGGAACTCACCCATGGTACTCTCCCGATTTTCACAATGTGGTGTTGTGTCTATAAAGTTTCCTAGATGTAGCGCGCAGAAATTTAAAATAGGATCTACTTAGACAAAACGCACGAGAACTCAAATTATGTTTATTCAACGAAATTAATCCAAATAATTTGCGGTTTATGAAAAAAAAAACGCTTGGTTTGCACATTTCGATTATTTTTTTCCAGGGGGCTCCGAAGTCGGGGGCTCCGGAGCATCGCATCGGTTGCCCCTAGGTATCTCCGGCCATTCAACTATTAGTTGGGTCTAGTATAGATTTAATCTGCAGTGATTAAAATCACTATCAATAGAAACACTTCGATGCAAATGTGTAGATAGTGTTTAATTCTAAGAAATTGGTAGATAATTACGAAAGCAAAATGAACTCCTATTTTCTTATTTATAACATGATTAGTAATTGTTAGATTCAAAAATATAATTATATATTATATCATTTTTATAATTAATTGTTTTCAAATTATTATTGATTATGATTTTTAATATGTTAAAAGTAATTACTTTTAATCTACTTTTTTTGCCCTTTAAGGAGAAAGTTTATAATAATAATAATAATAAAAAAAAAAATAAAGTTATTACCATAACTTTTAGCTCAACTTGTAAGTTTCAAATTGACGTAATTAAATAGAAAAAAAATGGTTTTGTTAAGATTAATATGCACTCAGGAAATTTTATAATTATTATTTACAGATAATTTATTAGTAATGCTCGATTTTATTGCATTTTTATCGTAATAGATCACTTAAATAGAAATCATAGTAATCATTTCTAATTAACTTTTGGTGTTTAAAAAGATTCTACAATTAAAATATGCAGAACTGAATTAATTTTAATAATTTACTTTAACTAAAAAAACCAATGAAAAAAAAGTTCTTAAAAAGATCTACTAAATTGAGCAAATTATAAATTTTGATTATAATTGTCAAAATCGATTGTTAAATTCAGGTGAAACTAAAAATCATTTTTTTTTAGATTTGTGATTTATATAGCAACATGTTACCAAAAAATTTTGAATATTAACAGGCTATAATATTCCAAAAATTTGGAATGTTATAGACTGGTAGTAGGATAGTAGCGGGATGTATATATAAGATTCTTCCCATGCGCCAGTCAGTTGGTGAATGATTGGGGGCTTCGACGATGACTAAATCGCCTAAAAAACTGACTAAAAATGACTAAAAAACTTTTAATTGAGGCTTTCCTAAGCCCACCCATATGAGGAGCGGCGGGGGGATTAAAATGCCAATTGCACGGAACTCGGGTGATCATGGCATTTTGTATACTGACATCATTCAGAAGTAACTTCAAATGTTTGGCTGTCCCGATGTAATTGCTATTATTACAATCGCTATATAAGTCTAAAGGGATTCCGCGACGTGCGACAAAGTGGTCGAGAGCTGCAAAGAAGGCTACAGTAGTCAAGTCAGAAACAATTTTAATATGTACCGCCTTTACCGTCATACATATAAATAGTGCGATGTAGACCTTTACGGTTTTGGTATTGCGAAGACGCTTTTCCTTTATTAAATATGGACCTCCATAGTCGATCACAACATTTTGAAAAGCTCGCGGAGAAATGACGCGTGATGGTGGTAGATTGCCCATCATTGGACTAGGTCGAGTCACTTTATGTCGAACACAGATGATACATGTATAAATAAATTGACGTACAGCATTACGACCAGAGATTATCCAAAATTTACGTCGAATCATTGATGCAATTAATTTCGGTCTTGTATGTAAAAATCCTTGGTGATAATATTGAATAATTAAATGAGTCAAGTGATATATTTTCGGCAATAATATTGGGTGTTTCGCATCGGAATCTAATGACGCGTAACGAAGACGACCACCGACGCGAATAAGACAGGTTTCATCAATAAAAGGAGCTAATTGGGCTAATGATGCTGGGGTCACTTGACTTTGTGTAACTAACTATTTCTTAAGGTCCTTGAAATACGTAATCGTAAAAAACGTAATCGTTGAATAGATGCTATTGTGTGTTGCATCCGTGGTAGAGTCGAAAAGCGTATAATAATACTATCGGCGGTGGTGTCCTTATTAGCGATAGTGAGCACAATTGCCTTTTGTTGAAATTCCGGTAATTCCTCTGGTTTCAACAGTTCAAAATTACGCAGCGGCCATTGTTTGATAGGTAGACGTAGAAATGCCGGACCGTCTATATGTATTTTACATAGCACCATGTCGTATAGTAATAACCCGCGGAATGCCGGGTCAGCGTGGTTATCCTTCGTGTTAACGTACGCCCATTTACAATTCAGTAATAAATTGTGTATTTTGGCTACTTGATTGGTAACAAAAATTTTGAAATCCTTTTTGTCAGCCTTTAACCATGCTAAAACTACAGTTGAGTCTGTCCAGCCATGAATGGCAGAAATTGGTATTTCGGACATTAAACAGTTATATATTCGATGCAATGTTTGAGCAACTAAGAGAGCGCCGCATAGTTCCAGTCAAGGCATAGATGTATTAGCGTTATCATTCTTTAATGACGCTACCTTTGTTTTGCATGTGACGAAATAAACGGATATATCACCTGTGTAATAAACAACTCACAAGTAAACAGAACCGGCGTAACCCTTTCCCGATGCGTCTGAAAAGCCAATGAGTTGTATTTCCTTATAATTACGAACGTCAATATGTCGGGGCAATGAAATAGTATTTAACCGTGGGAGCTCATTTATAAACCGATTCCATGAATTTTCCATATCTACTGGTAAAGGAATATCCCACTCAAGTTTAGCATGCCACAATTGCTGCATAAGACTCTTGGCCTATAATATGGATGGACCTAGTGTACCGACCAGATCGAACAGTCTAGCAATAGCGGACAAAACAGATCTTTTTGTTAGTTGACAATCGTGTGAGTAAGTATGATAGGTAAATGAATCGCCATCAGGGTCCCAGTACCTTTATTGTCTGATCTCCTTTGAGGTCGAATGTCAACAATTGTGCGCGTCTTCAACAGGTACTCGCTCTAAAATTTGGCTAAAATTGCTGGTCCACTTTTTTAATATGCATTTTCCGGTATTTAATAACGCGATTAATTGTTCTTGAATAACAAGAAGGTCTTCTACAGAATCCGCTCCAGCTATAATGTCGTCGACGTAAGTGGTATTTGACAAAATCCCTTAAGCGGCGGGAAAACGTAGTCCTTCAAATCAATCGAGCTCGTGGAGACATCGAATTGTAAGAAAAGGTGCCGAACTTATACCGTAAGTGACGGTGAGCAATTCGTATTCGACTACTTCGTCATTAAGAGAATCGCGTCATAATATGTGTTGTTAGGCACAATCAGAAGGACGCACTAAAATCTGCTGATACATCTTCGCGATGTCGGCTGTAAATAAAAATTTTTTCAAACGGCCTTTGATAAGTATGTCACTTATTGAAGTTTTGGACTGATACACAATATATCATTAAGAGATAAACCACTAGATGATGGACATGATGCGTCAAAAACTATTTTTAACTTAGATACATGGCCGTCTTGTTTTGTTGCAGCGTGGTGCGGTATAAAATTTTGACCGGTCTGAGTCGCGCGCTTCATGTGTCCGAGCGATAGATATTCGTGCATAAACGAATGATAAGCGCATAAAGCTTCGAATCATTGATAAGACGACGTTCTAAATTTAATAATCGTTTAAGAGCAATTGACCGCGAATCACCAAGCCCAAATGTATAAGAAA